AGCACCCACATGGTGGTTAACAACCATCCATAACTCCAGTTCCAGGGGATCCAATGCCCTCTTCTGACCACTGCAGGCATTTCAGGACATGGGTGCACTTACATACCTGTATGCATGCATACACATAAAATAAAAATAATAAATAAATAAATAAAAAACACCTGGCAGGGGAAACGCCATGATCAGTAAGGTGATTTTTCCAGGGCGAGACTCATCCGTTGCACTTGGGCTGTGCTGACCCCTGCAATTTCCCCAAATGCGGGAAACAACTGAATAATTTGTGGTAGTCAGGGACTATGTTTGTGCTCTCCCCTGAAAAAAAAAATTTAAAAAAACAAAAAACATGGCCCAAGGGGCCAGCTCCACCCTAAGCTGGCAGCAGAACTAACCATGTAGTATTGGTCCATGCCATGTAGAACTGGTCCATGTAGTGTAGTCATGAAGAATGCAAGATTGAGAGTGTCATGGAGTCTTGCTCTACAGATTCAGATAGCTGCTGAGGCTAGGCAATGTGTGACAGGGTTGGAGTCCCTTCAAGGTGACCCTGAGAGGCCACAGCCTCAAGCTATAAAGATGAGACCTAAGTTGCAAAGGAGATCTCATGATGTTGGAGATGCCAGGACCATGAAGCATCTGCCAGGGAAAGCTGAGGGCACAGAGTGAAGCTGGCCCAAGAGAGGCTAGGTATGGTGCAGGCAATAGACCTAGAAAGTAAAGGCTGCCTAAGCCCTTTGGAGCCCAGATGATTCCATTACAAGCCTTAGCTGTCAGACATGGAGTTGTAGGATTTGGTATTTGCCCTGCTGGGTTTCAGTTTTGTTTTGATCCTGTCTTTCCTCACTAGGCCTCCATTCCTCCCTTTACAATGGGAATGTTTATTCTGTGCCATTGTATATTGGAACTATGTAACTTTTTTTGTTTTGTTTTGTTTTGGTTTGGTTTTTAATTATACAAGGGTTCACAGTTAAGAGATGGCCTGAGTCTCAGAAGAGATACTACACTTAAACTTTTAAACAGTGTTGGAACTATTAAAGTCTCTGGAGATTTTTGAAGTAGGACTGAATATTTTGCATTATAAGATCTCCATGAGCCTATGGGGACAAGGAGAAGAAACTCATGGCTTAAAAGTGATGTGTTTGGGCTTTAAAGATGGTTCAATGGGTGAAGGCACTTGCCACTAAGCCTGACCACCTGAGTTTGATTCCTGGAACTCACATGGTGGAAGATGAGAACTGACTCTTACAAGTTGTCCTCCTGCCTCTGTATACACATGCTGTGGCATGTGTACCCCTCTCACACACATGCACACAATAAATTAATGTAATAAAAAAAAAATTTTTTTGGTCTTTTTGAGACAGGGCCTCCCTATAGCCCCAGCTGGCCTGGAACTCACTATGTAGACCATCCTGGCCTTGAACTCACAGAGATCCGCCTGCCTCTGCCTCACAAGTGCTGGGACGAAAGGCATGAGCCACCACACCCTGCAATGTAATAAAAAATTTAAGTGATGTGTTTGTGTATCAAATTGACAAGAGGTATACTTGTTAATGCTGATTGTCTACTTAACAGGATCTAAGATCACTTAGGATATAAGCCACTGGGCATGCCTATGAAAGATTATCTAGATTGAGTTAACTGAGGTGGGAAAACCTACCCTGAAAGTGGGTCCTGAGCTCAGGTCCTGGACTGAGTTAAAAAAAAAGGAGCTGAACACGAGTACTCATTGTTGCCTGCTTCCTGATTGCAGATACAGTGTGAATGGCTGCTTCAAACTGCTATCATGACTTCCCTGTCATGACGGACTGCTGTACACCAAACTCTGAGTCAAAATAAAACCTTACATATGTGTGTGTGTGTGTGTGTGTGTGTGTGTGTGTGTGTGTTTGGTACGTGAATGTGTGTGGGTATGTGCTCATGGGGAAGCCAGAGCAGGATGTCAGCTGTCTTCCTCTATTGATCTCCATCTGTATTAGTCACTTTTCTGTTGCTGTGATAGAAACACTAACCGAAGCAATTTCTAGAAGGAAGAGTTTATTTGAGCTTACTGTTCCAGGGGAATTACAGTCCATCATGGTAGGGAGGCATGGTGGCTAGAGGTGGCTTGAGGTGGCTGGAAGTGGCTGGAGCAGGAGAATTTATGATCCCTTCTCTCTTGCTTCTTGTGCCTGCATGGTGATGTGAGAGCTTAGCTTCTGCTGCTCCTGCTCCAGCCACCTCCAGCCACCATGTCTCCCTGCCATGATGGACTGTAATTCCCCTGGAACTGTAAGCTCAAATAAACTCTTCCTTCTATAAATTGCTCGGGTCAGTGTTTCTATCACAGCAACAGAAAAGTGACTAATACACCATCTATTTATTGCCTTGAGGCAGAGTCCTCACTGATCCTCAGGTTCACTGTTTTGGCTAGGCTGGGTGGCCAATGAGTTCCCAGGAATCACCTGTGTCCACCCTCCAACACAGGGACTACAGGCATGCACAGTCATACTGGCACTTTCTGTGTGGGTATTAGGGATTTGAACTCAGGTCTTCATGCTTGCAGAGCAAGCCCTCTTGCCCACTGAGCCATCTTCCCAGCCCCAACCCTTTCTTCTTTTAGTTGTTTTTGTCAGATACTTGGTGGGTTTTGTTTTTAATTAAATGATTTTATTTATTGTGTGTGGATACACACATGGTGTATGTGTGGAGGTCAGAGGATAATTTATGAGAGTTGGTTCTCTCCTTCATGTGAGTCACAAGGATCAAATTCAGATTGTCAGGCTTAGTGGCAAGTGGCTTTATCCACTGAGCCATAATCTCCATCCTCAGATACTTTGTTGAGGCTATAAGACAAGAGATGGAGGCTGAAGAGATGGCTCGGTGGTTAAGAGCACTGGCTGCTCTTGCAGAAGACTCGGGTTCAATTCCCAGCACCCACATGGTGGCTAACAACCGTCTGTAACTCCAGTTCCAGGAGAATCTGATGCCCTCTTCTGAGTGCCACAGGCATTGCATGACACAGGTACACTTACCTATATGCATGCAATGTACTCATACACATAAAATAAAAATAATAAAATATTTTTTTAAAAAAAGACAAGAAATGAATAGCTGCCTGCCTCAGAGAGCAGCATTTGATGCCATTATTACTATTAAGACCTTAGCATAGTGTCTGACTACAAACATAATAAATGGAGTTGTTGGTTGGGGGTGAGGCTCAGTGGTAGAGAGTACTTGTTTATCATATGTGAGGCCCTGGTTTTGATATCTCCAAGTTTTTTTTTTTTTTTTTTTAAGTAAAATGAACTAAAACCCCAGAGAGTCATTATCTACCAGGAGGACTTGCAGAGCTACAGAGTTCCTTTCAGCTTTCTGGAGATGATGGCAACTTCTGACCACACAAATACACCCCTGTGACCCCCCCCCTTAGTTTTTCTATCCTGCTTCACCTCTACCTAGAGAGGAGGCCGAGGTCAGAGAAACAAATAGCTGTTTGGTAGAGTGAGCTCTGCCTCCCTTGACCCTTGGAGGGAGGTGAAAATGACTTTTTACCACCACAGGATGGAAAGTTTGAGAACACTAAGGGGGCTTATTATTTAACATTTATTTATCTATTTTGTGGTGTGTGTGTGTAGACCATGGCACATGTGTGGAGGCCATTGGACAACTTGAGAGAATCAGTCTTCTCCCTCCATCCTGTGGGTCCCAGAGATTGAACCAATTCATCAGGTTTGGCAGCAAGCACCTTTACTGGCTGAACCATCTTGCTGGCCTTTATTTATTTATTTATTTATTTATTTATTTATTTTCTTTGCAATAGGGTCTCACCGTGTATACAAGGCTAGCCTGGAACTTGCAATCTTCTATACCGTTTTAGATGATTGTCTTTTTTTTTTTTTTTTTAAGCTATAGGACAATTATTAGCACTTAAAAGAAAAACACCCCAGGGCACACAAGCTGTAAATCTCAGCAGCTGCCCAGAGGAGGAGAATGGAGGGGAGATGGAAAAAAGCCATGCCATTTGAATTAAGTTGGCATGGAGGTCAGCCGCATGGAAGCAGGCAGCCACATCAAGGGAAGGGAATTTTGGAGAAGGAATAAGGAAGCCCAGAGTGTTAGGGAAAACATGCTTAGAACCGAGATAGAAGAAAGGGGGCTGGAGAGATGGCTCAGAGGTTAAGAACACTGGTTGTTCTTGCAGAAGACCCAGGTTCGAGTCCCAGCACCTACATGGCAAGCTAACAACTGTCCATAACTCCAGTCCCAGGGGATCTGATGGCCTCTTCTGACCTCTGTGGGCATTGCACAACATGGGTGCACTTCCAAACATTCAGGCAATACACACATACATATAAAATAAAAATAAGAAATGAAATATTTTTTAAAAAAAAGAAAGAAGAAAGGAAGTTACCCTTTTTCTAAGTAAGTCACAAAGGCAAGCAAACTTTCTGTAAGAGACTGCCTCTATCTTTTTTTAAAGACCAGATCTCAGTCAGGTGTGAGCATGGTGGAGCTGCCTTTAATCCTAGTGCTTGAGAGGCAGAGGCAGGGAGATACTGTCTTAAAAAAAGGCCAGGTTGACCTTACATTCATTATATAGATGAGGCTGGCCTTGAACATAATTCTCCTGGCTCCACTTCCAAGTTCTGGAATTTACAGGTGTGTGTGTGTGTGTGTGTGTGTGTATGTGTGAGTGTGTGTGTGTGTCCACAATCCACCTCTAGCAATCTCTGGTTTGTAGACACATCACTCCAATATCTGTAGCCTCACAATACCTGTGGAGGTCAGAAGAGGGTGTTAGATTCCCCTGGAACTGGAGTTACAGACAGTTGTTAGCCACCATGCGGGTACTGGGAATCAAACCCCAGCTAGTACTCTTAACCACTGAGCCATCTCTCCAGCCCCCACTCCCCTCCTCCTCCTCTTCCCTCTTCCTCCTCCTCCTCTTCCCTCCTCCTCCTCTTCCCTCTTCCCTCCTCTTCCCTCTTCCTCCTCCTCCTCTTCCCTCCTCCTCCTCCTCTTCCCTCTTCCTCCTCCTCCTCTTTCCTCTTCCCTCCTCCTCTTCCCTCTTCCCTCCTCCTCCTCTTCCCTCTTCCCTCCTCCTCCTCCTCTTCCCTCCTCCTCCTCTTCCCTCTTCCCTCCTCCTCCTCTTCCCTCTTCCCTCTTCCTCCCCCTTCTCTCCCCCTCCCTCCTCCTCCCCCTCCCCCTTCTTCCTTCCTCTTCTTCCTTCCTCTTCCTTCCTTCCTCTTCTTCCTTCCTCTTCCTTCCTTCCTCTTCTTCCTTCCCCCTCTTCCCCTTCCCCTTCTTCCTCTTTCTCCTTCTTCCTTCCTTCCTCCTCC